TTCAGCTCCAACCCTAATCAAACACACCTGAACAAGCTAATCAATGTCTTCAGGATTACTAAGGCTATAGGCAGTTGAGTTTTGTTTTCAGGGTTGGAGCTGAACTCTGCAGGACTGCGGCTCTCTAGGACCGAACTTGCCTACCCTTGGCCTAGGATAAGGGTACACATGTAGTCGTTCCTCTGCCAATAGCACGGCGTGATTGTACTGGTTCCCATAGCGTCTTAGCAGACGCAGTACGAGTAAAGTATCGATAGGGAACGTACTCGGTTACAAACGTAACCTCGGTTCCCTGAGATACGGGAACAAGTACTGCGTTGCTAGCCGTGCTATGCAGCTGCACGACTCAGTCGTCGCTTCAGTCGAAGTAACCTGAATCCTATGGCGAAGCAGCCGCTTATATAGCCAGATAGCCCCGCCCATTCTGGCGGGCTTAGGTGGGCTTCGTGGCCATAGGTTCGTGCAGCACCGCTGCCGAGCCATTGGTTAGTTTTTTAAGTGAACTGCACGAACCAATTGCCATGCAGTTACACTGCGTTATTGAAAAAGGCTTCAGTTCAGGAGAAAAAATGATTTTTTTCTCATAGCGTCTTAGCAGACGCCAATGGCCGTGCAGTTACACTGCGTTATTAAAAAAGGCTTCAGTTTAGGAGAAAAAAGGACTTTTTCCCATAGCGTCTTAGCAGACGCAGTACTCGTTCCTGTATCTCAGGGAACCGAGGTTACGTTTGTAACTGAGTACGTTTTCAACATTGATAATAAGAAATGTTAATAACTGAGCAACTAATTAGCATTTTAGAATTATTATTTTTTTAAATATATTAAAATAGAAAACTGTTATTTTAAATTTAAAGGCTTGTCATAGAGAAAATTAGCATAAATAAACCTTTAAATCTTCTTTTACCCTAAGATTTTGAACATTTGTGCTATTAAAGTAAAAAAAAAACTCTTAGTATTACTTTAGAGCCAAACCCTGACATGAGCATGGGTGTGAGTCACTAGTGTGGTGAGAATATGGGTGGGTGGGATTTCACTTCCAGACTAAGCTATTCTCTTACAGCTTCAGTACACCAAAGTCACCGTTTACTCTCCAAACACATCATGACATGAGCTCTTAACTCTAACAAGTGAGTGACATTAAACAAGTGTCTGCTCTGCCAGTATTCAGATCAGCATTAAACTCAGCCTGCCTGCCAGATGACAAAGCGCTTAACATGTGAGTCTGTCTGTGTGGCACTAACAGCCCAGCAGAGAGCAATAACATGCACAGACATATCAATACCGCCATCAAACCAACCATTAATTTCAGTGTCATAAAACGATTAAAGGAACATTCTTAATCTGTCATCTATTTTGCACATGTCTGACCTGTGGACTGAAAGACTCCAGGGTTGCACTGGCAGTACCGGGATGCAAACGCTTCCATCATTCTGTCGATCTTCTGGGCCTCACCAGGAAGTCTGAAACTCCAGAGAAACTGCCTGTGTGGAGACAAACATCACAATATTTAAAAATACAAAATATATATATATATATACAGTATATATATATATATATATATATATATATATTAAATAGTCTGATCTTTTGATTTTGGGGTGAAACATTAATCAGACATGTAGAAACCAATAAATTATATTATTGCAATAATTCTAAGCAAAAAGAAAAGCTTCTCCCACCTCAGAGCCTGAACGAGGTTGAGGTCAGCAAATTCATGGAGCTCTACGAAAGCCTGGAGCACTTTGATGTTGAATTCATCCCTACGAGAACACAACAACCACACACAGAAGAAATGGTTACTTTCTGCAAAGAAAGATCGATTGCTTGTCTTTAAAAAAAGTCGATTTTTGCAAAACCATCATAAAATTATTCATGAGTGAATCTCAATAAGTCCAGGTCACATTTACCCTAAATCAAACTTTTATTTTATTTGATTATTTATTTATTTTTTCCAGATCAGAATGGCAGTACCATAAATATTATCATTATGTATAAATACTTTACAATTTAATTAGTTTACAGTTTCTTTTATATTACAGTAATGAGTATTTTGGCATTGCATAAGAGATTAATCTGAGTTGTCATGAAAATATCAATACAAAATATATATATATATATACAGTATATATATATATATATATATATATATATATAA